CCTACCTGTCTTTTTGTTTTATATAGTCTGCAGCAAATTCTCATAACCAAGTTTTTTTTCTTTCCATATCTACTCAGCTATTTTTTGAGTGCGTGATTTGTTCTTTCCACCTTTCGCCTGTTGGTTAAAGTATCTAAGTAGTGTTAATGGATTAGCTTTGGGATGGGGTGGGCATCAATTAATTGGCAAAATCATCTCAATTTCCATTTCATCCACGTGCAGCTCCCTTTTAATGAATTATATAAACCCAATTAATTATACTTTTATGGTAATGAGTAGGCCTTTTAATGTTGAATTTGAAGTGGATACATATAAGCATACGTCTTTGAAAATGTTAAGTATGACTTTGGTTTGAGTATTTTTATCTATGCTTAATACATACTGTATTTGTTCGCAGTTGTCATGGCAATTGAGTTTCAAAAGCGTGGCCTTCCACATGCTCATTTGTTAGTCTTCCTAGCTTCGGATTGTAAACTAACTGGGCCGAAGGCAATTGATTCAGTCATATCCGCAGAAATTCCAAACTCTGATCTTGATCCAGAAGGCTATAGAGCTGTAACGACATTTATGTTGCATGGTCCATGTGGTATTTTGGGCCGTAATGCTCCTTTCATAGTAGGTGGTGTGTGTACTAAACATTTTCCAAAGGCATTTTGTGAGCAAACAACGATTGATGATAATGGCTTTGCCAAATATCGACGACGTGACAGTGGAATATCTTATAAAGTTAACTCTGTGTCATTGGACAATCGTTTTGTCGTACCATACAATCGCTATTTATTATTGCGATTCGATGCACATATAAACGTTGAGTTCTGCAATAAATCCAGGTATCTTTTGTACTACCACATATAATATTTATGATTGACTTTACTTTTTTATTTCATTCCATGTAAATTGCGAAATTTGGTAGCTTATGTTTTGTTTTTATTATTGCTTTACACGTATCAGTATGACTACTGCATCACTACTCATTAGTTTTGTTTTATCTCATCAATACTTATTAGTGGAATGCAGTAGCTTTGGGATTGGGTTGGGCATCAATTAATTAGTTTCCAATAGGATGAGGTACTAAAAGGAACATAAAATCGTACTATGCTTATTGTTCCCATGTTGTAATTCACACTTTCTCCTCTATGTTATCTGTATTTGTATTTTTGTAGATTTCCTTGGAGGTGCATTTTTATTCATATTTTGTTTGCCATTGTAGGGCAATCAAATATTTGTTCAAGTATATCAACAAACCACAAGATCGAGCAAGAGCTTCATTAGTTGATAATGAAACTACTACTGGAATTGAATCTGGTGCATCAAGTTCGAATCCCACACCACGTGTTGATGAGATCAAAGTATATCTAGATTGTCGTTATATCACATCTGGTGAAGCATGCTGGAGGTTGTTCAAGTTTGATGTCTACTCACAGTACCCATCAGTATTGCGCATGTCTTATCATCTTCCTGGTCATAATGTAGTTGTCTCAAGGCAGCATTCAAATCCTCAAGGTGTGCTTCAGTCTAAACGTGCTCAAACCTCTATGCTATTGGAATGGATGAAAGTGAATAAGCTATCTCTAGATTCAAGGAAATATACATTTGTAGAATTTCCTCAACATTATGTTTGGAATAAAACAAAGCAGGCGTGGCACAAGAGGAAATCCATGTTCAGTATTGGCAGGTTGTATTATTGTCATCCTTCGCCTACAAATGACAGGTTCTATCTGCGTATGCTGCTTCATATTGTTCGTGGTGCTGGTAGTTTTGAGGACATCAGGACAGTGAATGGAATTTTGCATAAATCTTTTAAGGAAGCATGTTATGCGCATGGTCTATTGGCAGAAGATAATGAATGGAATGAATGTTTGGCTGAAGCTGTTATTTGGGCATCCGGTAAAAAGCTTAGAAGTTTATTTGTTACTATTATCAGCCTCTGTCAAGTTTCAGACATTGGGAAACTATGGGAGCGGAATTGGTCACTGTTATCTGATGACATTTTGTATGCCCGTCGGAAGGAACTAAATATGCCTACTTTATAGATGACTGATCTTCAGTTATAGGAATGTTGTTTACTGGAGATAGATAAATTACTTGCAAGAAATTGCAAAACTCTATCTGATTTTCCTGGATTACCAGTTATTGATACTGGTAACATGCCATTTTCATCAAATCGTTTGATCACTGCAGAACTTAACTACAATGCTTCAAGCCTTCATGAGCACTTTGAAGGTATGATTTCCAAGCTCAATACCCAACATAAAATTGCTTTTGATGAAATTACTGAATCAGTATATGCAGATAAGGGAAATGCATTATTTATTGATGGATGTGGTGGGACTGGGAAGACCTTTTTATGGAAAGTCATTTGCTTGAAATTGCGATCGGAAAATAAGATTGTTCTATGTGTTGCTTCTTCTGGGATTGCAGCCCTTTTAATGGATGGGGGTAGAACAGCTCATTCTCGATTTCACATTCCAGTAGACCTTGATTGTAGATCGACATGTCATATTGACCAGGAAAGTGAATTAGCAGAGCTCATTCAACGTGCTTCATTGATTATTTGGGATGAAGTTGTAATGTCACACAAGCATGCAGTGGAAGCTGTAGATAAATCATTGCGGGATATCTTACGGATTCGGTATGAAAACAGTCAGTGGAAGCCCTTTGGAGGCCTTACAGTTGTTTTTGGAGGAGATTTTAGGCAGACTTTGCCTATAGTATTGAAAGCTTCACGAGGTGATATTGTGAACTCATCTATAAAGAGATCTTACCCTGGGGTAATTAAATTAGTTGAGAATATGAGGCTAGCACGATCTAATTGCTCTCCGGAGGAAATTGTTGAGATAACTACTTTTCAGAATTGGCTCTTACAAGTAGGAGATGGAGTAGATTCAGATGTGTTTGGTGAGTCTTTGATTCCCATACCTCAGGAATTAGTAATTCCTCGACAGATTGATCCTGTTACTGATATCGTCACCTCGATATACAGTGATCTTAGTAGTCATGCAAGAGATCATAATTATTTAGTCCATCGAGCTATCTTGGCTCCACACCATGATATGGTTTCTGCAGTGAATAAATATATTCTAAGTCAATTTCCAGGAGATGAAGTGTCATATTTCAGCGCTGATTCTATTGAGGTGGACCCTGGGAAGGAGGGAGTTGTGGATGCTGATTATTCTACTGAATTTTTGAACAATCTCAAGATTGGAAACTTTCCAGACCATCATCTGAAACTGAAAGTTGGGTGTCCAGTCATTCTATTACGGAATATGGATCAAACTGTTGGCCTTTGTAATGGTACTAGAATGGTTGTGAAGACTTTGGGTAAATGGTTCCTTGAGGTTGAGATTTTGACAGGTACAAATGTAGGTGATCGCGTTTTCCTCCCTAGATTAAACTATCAACCCATTACAAGAGTCTTAACTTCACCCTCATTAGAAGGCAATACCATGTTGCTCTTTGTTTTGCCATGACTATTAACAAAAGTCAGGGTCAAACACTCGCCCATGTTGGTTTATGTCTTCAAAGACAAGTTTTCAGTCATGGTCAGCTATATGTTGCATTGTCGAGAGTTACTACTAAGCAAGGATTGAAGATTTTGAGTGCCAATGAGAATGGAGAGGATGGCACCTCAATGGTGAACATAGTATTTCCAGAAATATTTGATTGATTTATTTGAACTTCATCTTAGTTTTTACTTATGATTACAATTTTGTTTTGTTTGCTGAACAATTGTTAGGCGTGATGTTTTGCTATTCATTTTGGTAAAATACTCATCATGCTGTTTGTTATTTTATTTCACTTATTTCCATTGGTATATATTGTTGGTTTAGGGTTGAATTGTTCAATGACATATGTATTTTTTTATTGAACTATGACCTTCAATGATCCTGTAATATGAAAAACATATTACAATTGCAATGCTACTATGTAATAATCCATATAGCTCCAATATGTATATTTAAGTTCCTATTTACTTACTATTGAAATGGTTTTCAACATATTTCATTTATTTAAAAAAAAAGCTTAAAATCGGGAAAAACAATTTAATGGCACATGGAATAATATATTATTTAGTTGCTGTTATGTTTGCTACTTCAAGGTGGAATTGTAAGAAAAATAACCATACAATTTGTTATTATTATGTATTTTTTTTGTTCATTTCAATTTGTCTTTTAGGTCTGTTGACATGGAATCCTTATTTTTGTTTGTTGCCGCCAGTGGATTTTCAAAAGTTAAGTCTAGGATATGTAATTTTGTGTATATACTTATCTGTAAGGTGGATAGATATATAAATGGACCCAATCTAAGGGTTAAAGTCAAAAACATATTTCACATGGGCCTGCTAAACATTACGGGCCATCTATAGCCCACAGCAAGATCTCAATAGTGAATGTCGTTTCGCAAAACAACACTGCAGTAGGTTTCGGTCCACATTTTGAACTGAAATCGACTACCACCGTCGACTCACAGCTCTCCCAACCTTTCCGGCGGCCATTATACTATAAAACAATCTCCACCGCCAATTTGAACGCCAGGTGCAACCACCTATGTGTTTATAAATCAAGCTCGCCTGTAGATAGGGTTTCCCATTGTAGCCGGAAATGGGAACAGCACAATCCATCCAGTTGATTGTTATCAGCCTCTTCCTAGGTTGGTGTATTTGAAATCGGCAGATAACCGCCACAGTTCAAAAATCCCCTCTCCGATTCATGAGTTCCACATCCTCTTGGCAACTGCCGCAGGCCACACTCTCAGTAACCGCTCCATAGATGTTTCCAGTCGTGGGCAACGTGGGTTGTTTGGTAACTGTTACCACAGCAATGACTAGCCTTTATATATTTCAAGTTCCCCGATTCAGCTCAGTATTCATGTTGCTCTCTGTCAAGTTACCAGGTACCTGTTCTCCTCTAAAATTCTCCATTTGATAAAACCAACCATCAAAGCAGTTTAGTTCACCCAGTTTATAACTATTTACCACATAATCGTTTGCTAGGTAGAAAATGGATTTCAATGGCATGCGAGATCTTGAGTCTGAGAAACAAATATGGTCAGGCCATTGTCGCGTTTCTAGGCTTTGGCTTGGTGCAAGCGTCACGACAGACAAAGTCCTGCATTTAGACATGATCTTGATGGATTCCAAGGTACGTATGTTCTATAAAGTTATTTTCTTTTCTTGATTGATCTTACAAGCTAGATGATTTCATTTAAATGTTGGTTTCAATATTGTCAGGGAAATGATATATGGGTCCACATCCCACCGGTGTTGCAAGAGCAATTCAAGGCACTGCTTCAGGAACAAGAAGTTTACATCATCAAGGATTACGAAATTCACACGACCCAACTCAAATATCGCCCTATTGCCAATTCATATATCATGACTTTTAATCGGGCGACTACTGTCCAACGTGTTCCTGATATCCCTTCCATTCCTGCCTTCAAGTTCAGTTTCACTAAAGCAAGTGAGATGAAGGATAAATTGGGACAAATAATCATCCTCTCAGGTAACTGCCCTCTTCATTTTGGATTGCTGCTGCTACTTATGGTATTAATTGGTTCTAATGTTAATTCCCTCTTTTGTATCCTAGATGTTGTTGGCGAGTTGGTGAAGCACTCAAATCTCCTGACCACAACCAATCTTTCTCGAAAAACCACTAGAAAGGAACTTGAGCTGAAACTGATTGAGTAAATTCCTACCACCCTTACACTTGGAGAAGCATGAATAAGTGTTCAATGTGATCATAAGTTTTTATTGTTTGTTGTCTTTGGTCCTATGGACTTGATTATGCTTAATATGTAATTTAATGATCTACTCTTATGTGATTCCCATATGTGGTGCCATATTGTCCATAATCATTTAGGTTTTGAAATAGTTTTTCCTTGCTCCACTATGTGATTATTGTGGATCTGCTATGACTTAGTTTACGAGAAGGGTGGCAAGCTTTGTTTAATTTATTGAATACGGTTTGTGCTGGGAAGTTGTGTGTGGTATAATGAAGAACAGGTCCCTTCTTCATTGTGTTTATCTGGTGTTAGCAGCACTTTATTTTATTATCTTCTTTGTAGGTTAATTATTCATTACCTATGTCCTTAAAATGTTTCTAAACGTTTGTGCAGAGGTGATATTGTGAGAGTTGTTATCTGGGGTAGAGTTATAACTGAATTTGATAAAATAGTCAAACCTGTTGGTGATCAACCAATTATTCCGGTAGTCACTGCTGTTTCTGTGAATCTATTCAAGAGTAAGCATATTTTTCAATTTAGGCAAGTTAATTTTTTGGTATTTGTTATGGATAGAAAGAAATTAACTTGGCCTTTATAGGTCAACTTTCCTTTTCTTCTTCTGGGTCAACAATCCTGTATCCTAACCTTGATATCCCGGAAGTGAAGGCTTTCTCAACAAGGTATTGTTACTAATTCCTACTTGATACTCAATATTTGCACTATATTGTTAAGTCAGTTTTCATTGAAGTGTTTTTTTCTTTTGTTGAAGAGATGTACAACCAGAGCAGCCCATGTATGTTGAGTTGCCCCCACCTGCTCCTATTCCTGAACTTTCTCTGTCTGAATTGCTGGAATTACATGTGGATCCGGACAGCGAGGTGATATTAAATTTTGGTCTTGAATCTTATACATTTCCAACTTATTGTTACATACTAACTTAAATCAGCATTTATTAGGAAGGTGTTTATTCTGTTACTTGCAAAGTAGTAGGGATCAAGCCATTTTGGTGTTACTTGGGTTGCCCAACCTGTGTCCTTAAACCCATAGAGAGGAATGGAGAATACTATTGTGTGAAGTGCAACAAGATGACTCCAATTAGACCTGCCAAGTAAAGCACCTTTGTTTTTGTTGCCTCAAACTGTCTATCATATGAAAACTACATTATTTGTTAAACTAAGTGCCCTTCTTTCATGTCTCTTCTTTCAGATATCGGATTCAGCTTGAGGTTGAAGCCAATTCAAAGTCAGCAACCTTTATAATTTTCGAGTATGAAGGGAAATGATTCTTTGGCCCAACTGCTAATGAACTATTCAATAGAACTGGTCAAAACTATGAAGAACCCCCTGCAGATCTGCTCAAAGTAGTTGGTGTGACCAAGCTGTTCCATGTGAAGTTCAAGCCAAATCTATACAGTGATGCTCAACCCGATTTCACTGTGTTAAAAATTTTGGAGCCTGAATCAACGGTAAGCTTTCTTATAAGACCTGGATAATTTTTTATGATGTTAAGCTTCCATTTTTTATCCCATTCGACCCAACACAGGTCTGTTTCACATAAATGCTAATCAGACCATACAGGTTTGCTGGCCATAATTCATGTAACTCATTTTTGTTTCTTTCCACAATTTCTGTTGCAGAGTTCGGAGTCTAATCTGCACAAGGACAGCTCCTCCTCATCGCTTAGTAGTGGCCTTGAGTCATCCCAAACTTCATCTGACCAATCCATCCCCATTTCAACAGCCGACGATACTGGATCCATGCCTGTTGACAACAAACTCAAGCGAAAGATGCCTTCAGTTTAATGATGCTTCCTTGGAGTGTGCGAGACCACTGATTTCTTTGTTTCTAAGTTGACTTCTATGTATCCAGATGATTCCTGTTTCCTTACTCCCTTTGGTGTGTCTAAAGTTTTTCCCCTTTGGTGTGTCTCAAGTGCTGAACATTCACTCTTTATTTCAAGGACTTTATGCCTTTCCTTCTATGTTCACTTACGTAGGAGAAATATTAATAGCAGGTTTTTGGAATATATGAATAGTAGAATATTACAAAAGTGTTCTTGATCATTTAACTAATTATCATTCTTGCATATAACTATTAGTATCCTAAAGTTTTGGGATAGCCTTGCATATTACAGAGCTTTCTTTTCTTGCAATCGAAATTCCTATATCTTAGAAATTCCATCAACAAGTATTTCACTATGCTCAATCCTATTGTTTTGAATGTGTGAATCATTGAATCAATAGTATTTATTTTTGGAGGGATTTAAATAAAGTATTCAACTTATTGCTTTGGTAACGTACCCTTAGTAGTAATGAAGCTGATGCCGGCAAATAATCTACACCCAAACAAATAATCCATGTCCTCAAACTAATTTCAGTCATGTTTTGATGAGAGGTTACCACAAAAAAGCTTTATAACACATAATGTACAATTACTATTCACTAAAACAACCCAAAAACACAAAAGCCTGTTATTACTTATAATAAAATGGGCCAAAAACAAAGCCCAATCATTCTTTGGTTGCCATTTGGATGTATAACAAACAAAATGGGCCATATAAAGGATATGCATCAGCCGAAAGAGGGTTTACAGCACAAAAAACAGCTGATCTCCTTGGTTAGCTGGTTTTCACGAAAGGGGAAACCCTACAAGGACTTACGCCGCAGCTGCCGCTCTTCTGGTCCCCCAGCTCCTGCAGTCGATCCCATTCATCATGTACGGCAAGTATTATATATGTATTCTATTTCTTTTCCTTTTGGTTTTCTCATTTTGTCTTCTTGCACAGTTGTAGTCAGTCGCTATTGCAGCCCCAAAACTCTGTCACAAACAATCTGTTCTTTTCGGCTACAACATAAGGAATATGTTGCCGCAAGACCCACATGGTATATTACAGTTATTCGAATAGAAGTTTGTCCGAATGCTTTTAGATATAATGACTCTGGTTCCCTTTTGGTTTTAGATGTAATGGCTGAATCCACCACATTTTGTGAACTTCGTCTTGGAACAAGCAACTGTTTCCTCATGGCTAGGTTGTTAAACATTTGGTCAGAATCTGAGTCAGATGGAACTAGATCTATTACCTCCATACATATGCTTTGGTTAGATAAAGAGGTAAAATTATAAACATTGAACACCTATTGGTTTTACTCTTATCACAGAACAGTTACTTTAAGCTCATTTGTACCATTTTAACTCTTTTAGGGACAACTTATGGAAGGAAATGTACACTATGAAGATTCTGCTCATATTTGCAAAGAAATTGAGATTGGTTGTCTCTATATCATGATGAATCCAACTGTCATACCAGCTAGATCTGATCGTCGCACTGCACCTTCCAATTTGAGATTGTATTTTACAAAGCAATCTGCATTCAAAGCAATGATTGAATATCGGAGCACAATGCATTTTCCAGATGATTATTTATTTCAAAGTCCTTTCAATGGCAGTGGTTCTTCAACAAGTCTTCCACCTTGCTTCTCAGGTATTCATTGTTTATACTTAACCTATTGATTTCAACAGGTTGTATTAGAAATTGATGTGCTCAATATTGTATATTATCAACATCACATAGATCAAAACAACTAATATATGTACATATTTCAGATATTACGGGATGTGTAACTCATATAACTGAACCAGCTAAAGTCAATTCTGATACATCTATGTTCCAGATTTATCTTCAAGATATGAGGTACCAGTTATAATTAGTTACTATAATGTCTTACTGAATCAAGATTAGTCTGTAATCATACTTATACTCCGTTTGCCAACTTTTTAGTGGAAATGAAGCACTTGTGAGCTATATTGTCACAAGAATTAAAGATTTCATTGAAAGTGCTACTGCCAAAGAAGTTCATTATCCTCTGGTTGTGACAGCAACAGCACTCACCCGAAACATGCACGAATATGACCATATTCCACAGTTTTGTTTCGTAACATCTCCTGGCAGTCGTCTTATAGTACATTCGTACAATGAGATGACCAAAGATTTAATGAATAGGTAAATGGTTATATGTATATATTCACTTTTAATATATTTTGCATATTTTTTCCTAGAAGCAGTCTAATTTAACTTTCAAAACACTCTAGGTTCTTTCCTAATAGACTGCCTGTGGATATCATTGACTACAAATCAAAAGAGCAGCTTGGATACCTTCGGCATGATATTCCGCCCAGAATCTCATTATTATAATTGATCAACAAGCTGCCTTTAGGAGAAGAAGAAACAGAGGTAACTATATTTTCCTTCTATGCTCTGTTTTACATTTGTCAAAGAAGACTATTTGACAAATAAAAAGAAGTTTCAAATTTGATAATCAACAGTAGCAGTGTTTTCAAAAACACCTATTTCTAATTTTTGTAATTCTTCTATATCAAATTATTTGACAGATACTGTATCGGTGCAAACTGAAAATAGTCAAATTCGAGCTTGGTTCTGTGACCCGTGAAGTTTTCCCTGGAGACACTGAGTATTTCCAGATACCTTTGATTTTTTATTCCCTATTATAAAAATACTATACATTGACCAAATGCATCTAATCTACATATTTTTTCAGATTATTCTATGAACTGCAGGCTGAATGTGAATCAGGAAATCACAAGGCAAAGGTCATTCTTAATCATGGACCTGCTCTTGCTCTGCTTCGTAAGCCACCGATCGAGTTTACAAAAATGCCATATGACAAGAGAGTTCAGATGCTGAAAGAGTGCTGTAACATCAAATTCATGGCAGAAGTATACATCATTGGATCAGAATATGAAGTTGAACCACAGATTCGCATGTTTGCAATTTGGCATCCAAAAGCATTTCATCCATTACTGGATCTTAAGCTGAACCTATAAACACTGTTCTCATTTTGCAATCCAAGAAGGTAAGAGTCTTCCCTTTTTTATTTCAAATACATAAGTTCGGAGTCTAATCTCCACAAGGACAGCTCCTCCTCATTGCTTAGTAGTGTCCTTGAGTCATCCCAAACTTCATCTGACCAATCCATCCCCATTTCAACAGCCGACGATACTGGATCTATGCCTGTTGACATCAAACTCAAGCGAAAGATGCCTTCGGTTTAATGATGCTTCCTTGGAGGGTGCGAGGCCACTGATTTCTTTGTTTCTAAATTGATTTCTATGTATCCGGATGATTCCTGTTTCCTTACTCCCTTTGGTGTGTCTAAAGTTTTTCCCCTTTGGTGTGTCTCAAGTTTTGAACATTCACTCCTTATTTCAACGACTTTATGCCTTTCCGTTTATTAGAAGTACCTCTTTATTTGGTAATTTGAGTGGATGGATTTTTAGTATGCATCACACGAGTAAGAAAAATGGTCAAGCAAAAAAGGGTCTGTTTTCTTTTTGTGCTGTAGGTTTGTTGTTGTTATGCTATAGGGGTTCCTTATCATCTTGATAAGCTTTGCGGAAATGAAACTCCGGTTTCAGCTTTCTTTTCCTCTAAACGCAGCTCAATGGTGAAAGATACTTTGGAAATTGATGGTCGTCAGTTGAACATGGATAGATCTTTCAAAGGAGATGCATCAAATTATGTAGATCTTCCTGAATTACATGAATCACTGGTTGTTACTGAGCAAGATGCTTTGATAGTTAGAGATCGTCATGTGAATGCGGACTCATCTAGGCAAGTTGGTACAGGAATGAATGACGAATTTTCTGATATGCTTGACTGCATAAGTGTTCCCAGCAATGGGAATCCACAAAATGGTACCCAGAATTGTAATATAGAGGAACCAACTGGTAGCAAATCCTTGGATGTAAGGATGGAAGTACCTGGTAATTCTGACACAGAATGTGAAACAACTCTAACCAGCAGATTGCAGCTTACCCCTGAAAAACTCCATGTCTCAGCCAACTCATGTTTCATTAATAGTTTGTTAAATTTGTAGTCCGTAATGAATTTGATTGTTTCCATGAAGAATATTTCCATTTCCGACCCTGGTCATAAACCCAATTCTACTATACCAACTGTTGCTACTTCTGAGTTTGATAAACTGAAAATATAATCTCAATCCAACGTTTCCCAATCAAATTTAAGTACTTTGATAATATTATAATGATACATTAGATTCTTCTGCCGTCAAATTAGTAACCAATTTCGGTCAACAATGGCCTCATCATCCTGTTATAGGACTTGAGGTATACAGTGAAAAAACACAGGCTGCCTTTGATCGAAAATAATGGAAATCCATCAGAGTGGAGTGTTGTGTTGCCACTGGTCGGTAGCAGAAGTCATGACTGCAGAGCAAACCCACAAAGCCCAGTTTCATTTGTTGTTCATTCATCGGCGGTCAGTAGAATCATACTTGAACATGTAAACCTGAATATAATGAATAAAATATAGTGGATTAGAATTTATTTTCAAACAAAATAAAAAGATGTGCTTTGCTTTCATATTTCAATGCGGGAACAACTATTCTCATGTGAATTCATCATCAATTACAAAATGAAACATATTGAAATACATTTCAGAGAACAATCCAGTTAAATTAAACAACTTTGACATTACCAAAGTTCATATCCATTTGGCATATAGGGAAAACTCCATGTTAATAGTTACTAAGGCATTTCTTGATATGTACTTAAAATCAATGAAAGGTTCATTGACTGCCTCCATTTCCACATGGTGCCTAGATAAAGGTTGCAATATGCACAATCAATCTGACCAAACCCTGCATTAATTTTCCCATTCATACTGAAACTTAGAATCCAGTCAACTCTATTCGGAGACACACTACTAGAAGCCTTCAATTATGCTAAATCAGCCATTCCTTCTATGCTCACTTACAAGTGTACA